CCATTATGAGGTCAATAAAGTCAAACGATAAAAGATAAGGACAAGGGAAATAAATCGACAAGATAATATATGTGCACCATACTTTATTACTTACAGTCTCACATCAAGCTTAAGTTTGTTGCATCATATTTGATCCTTAAATATGTCCATTAACATCTGCATTATATAAAACTTCTCCTATAATAATTTAATCTGAGACAGACTTCAAAAGATTGTCACAACAAAACGGTAAATTGGTAAGTTAATGCTGAACGAGATTAGATTATTTGACAAGTATAATCTGGACAAAATTTTGTGTTACTAAATGAAAATGAAGGTTGCTACGAGTTATTAAATTTCTATTAGGTATAAAGAACTAATTTCTAAGCTTTGCTTGAGTTATTTAGGTCAATCCAGGTTTGTTCAAGGATACATCGCCACGTATGTTCATATTTTGGTCGGTGAGTACAATCTCCTCTTTATATTGCCTCACTTGAGATATCAAATCGCTCATTCTGTATATTTTTTCCAGAACAATGATGATCCAGTGAGATGCATTAACACTCTTTGCCCCGGTTTTGTCACGACCGGAAAATTACCACTTGGTGCACAGATGTCATGGATTTCCCAATACAATGATCCAAATAAGCAATATGTTAAACGGTTTCATCTGTTCAGGGTAAGCAATAATTTCAACAAAAAAAATATTATCTTACTTGTGGAATGGACCAAAATATCTTTTCTATTATCTAATAACAATAAACTACTAAGTGCTCCAAAAAAACACATAGGGTTTTATCTCTTGGTCCTATAGGCTCAGACAATGGGTAGGGTATACTCACACGGTTTTATTCTTTTATACTCCTTAGACTAAATGAACTTATCAATTATCATAAATAGTATACTTAAGTCTGTATGTACACTATCTAAACTCTTTTACGTGGTTTTGATTATGTTCCTATCATCTATTTAAGCTCCACAAGTAAAGTCATACCCAAAAATCTTATTGTGCGGTGGCCAAATATAACTAATTTCTATACTTACATTTGTCTTATAAATTCCTACAATCTTCTTGTTCAGGATGCAAATACTAAAAACTGGTGGCTTAAAGTGGGATGGATTGGTGAATTAGTCGGGTATTGGCCAAGTGAGCTTGTTCCTAAGCTGACATCTGATGGAGCCAGGGAAATATTCTGGGGTGGCCAAGTGTATCCAGTGAATAAACGGTTGAGAAACCTAGAAATGGGAAGCGGCCACTTCCCTGGAGAGGGCTATGCAAAGGCAGCCTATGTTAGTAAGATAATGTATGCATTACATGATGGACCTGAATTGATAAATCCCTCCTCCGACCAAATAGATGAATCCGTAGACAAACCAACATGCTACGATGTTGACCCAGATGTACAATACTCAGAGGAACGGGGATATTATATCTTCTACGGTGGAAAACCCAACAACTTTTGTCCTGATTGACTTAAAACTTTTGTTTTAGTTTTTATATCAAATGTGGATGTGAGCTACAAATCTGAATAACCAAATAAATGGTAGATATTGTCTTGTAATGAATAATTTATAATAATAATATGATATCTTTATATATATAGATGAGATGAGGAATTCATGAGTTCAAGCTATTTGCAAAATTCATGTGCCAATACAATAAAGTTTGACAAATTCAATTCATCATTATGTTTTAAATCGTAGCATTATATAATAAATAATTTATACCTTTTGATGATTACAAAGAAAAAGATCTTTGAACACCCAAGAATAGATGAAGAAATTAAATATTTATTTAGAAATAAACATAATTTCGAGTGAGAGATACATGAAGAAATTTATGAGTATGAAATGAGACATGAAATGACACCATATAAAATGAAATAAACTTGTTTTAGAACTACACTTATTTTTTTTCTAATAAGTATAAATTTATGGCATATCTACCTATTTTATTAGGTTGTGGGATTTGATCCTCCTAGATGCACATTTGCAAACGATGTAAAAAAAAATATTATAGTAAATTAAATAATAAAAAAATGAAGAAGAAAATATGATAAATGGAGGACATTAATAATTACTAGTAATTGTATCATTATTTGTACTAGTTTAATATAAAAAAGCACCTCAAATCACTATTTTCTTGTATATTATAACGCTAAGTACCAAGAGGTTTTTGCTTTCCCAAGAATAACTTATTGTTAAACTTTGTTTTTACTCTTCCACTCATTTTTCTATCTAAACCTTTAATTTTCTCATGAAATAAGTTTCGAGAATACAATAATTTTTATTTAATAATTATCAAAGAAAAATATTTTTCATATCATATATATAGTCATCAGACTAAAACGAAAAGTCTGTGTGGACTTAAAGGTAACTTGGGAGTTTGGTATTTACTTAAAGAATGAGATCTTATAACCACATTATTATATATAGGGTGATTTCTCTATAAAATGCTCATAATTTGGGTATTTCTAATTGAGTCTAGTTTTCAGTGCTACGTTTGCTTACTCTCTCTAACAGTGAATAGGTCATTCAATCGCTCCATATCCCTCATTTTGGTTTTTCCTAAATGATACGTTTAATTTAAAAATTAGATGTTCATAATAATTAAGGAACAACATCACCCAAATAGAAATAAAAAATTAGCTTGTTATAGTGGGTACCACAATAAAAATACTGTAAGTCCTGCACTAAAACACAATAAATAATCTAAATGAACTCCTTACTTCAATCAAACTAAATATAAACCTAAAAATATAGTATTGTAATAGTTTATGATAAATGATAATTAAATTAAAATAACATGATATCACTTATATTATTTTTTAACAGCATTTATAATGTTTTCTTTACATCAATAGAATACTATAAATGTTATTAAAAAACACTATAAATGAGCAAATGAAAATATTGTACCAATTGAAAACTAGTAAAATAACTCATATTTTGCTTTTCCCTAGTATATATATGGGTGATTACCTTAGAAAATA